TGCCGGCTTTTATCCCAGCTCCTGACGTCACGAGTGAGTTGAGTTCACACCGGAACAGAGATAAAAGCTCAGCTCGGCCAAACACCTGGCCTGAGGCCTGAGTATAGCCGGTGTTGGCTGTAACTCGTCCACCTGCAAGTAACAACAAGCCAAGAACCTGCTTCAGCCAGCGTCTCCAGCTGCATCTTCTCAGTACCTTTGCCACATAAAAGGTAATGGAGGCTGACACTACAGAAGGTAGTGGAAATTGACATCACAGAAGATAGTAGAGGCTGACGCTACAGAAGGCAGTGGAGGCTGACACCACAGAAGGTAGTAGAGGCTGACACTACAGAACGTAGTAGAGGCTGACACCACAGTAGGTAGTGGATGCTGACACTACAGAAGGTAGTGGAGGCTGACACTACAGAAGCTAGTGCAGGCTGACACCACAGTAGGTAGTGGAGGCTGACACAACAGAAACTAGTGGAGGCTGACGCCATAGAAATTTGGAGGCTTACACCACAGAAATTAAACTGACTTAAATTGAAGACCTCTGTGCTCTGGTGAGTGTTGTAGGAGTGTTTTGGAGAGAGGTTTGGGAGTGTGGAGGAGTTACCCTGTGCCAGGGAATCCAGTAAACGCCGCAAATAATAATACAAATATTAGTCTCACGTGGCACTCTGTGGGTATGTGGTGCAATGAATGCCAAGAGAACACGTGTACTTAGGATGATCCCAGCGTGTGTGTGTCACTGCACGTCTCTCTCTCTCTCTCTCTCCTCTCTCCGTCTCTCTCTCTCTCTCCTCTCTCTCTCCGTCTCTCTCTCTCTCTCTCTCCTCCTCTCTCTCTCTCTCTCTCTCTCTCTCTCCCTCTCTCTCTCCTCTCTCTCTCTCTCTCTCTCTCTCTTTCTAATTAATAAATAGTATAAATTATACCTTAATTTTTAAAAGGGTGAAGGGGTAAGCCAGTGGAAGGCCTTGGTCAGATGACCAAAGCTTCGGCTACTGGGCATCATATGATTAAAACTAAGACCCGCATCAGGAAACACTTGTCCTGTTTCCTGACAAATCTTACCTAACCTAACCTATCTTTCTCTGGACAAATATAGACCTGAGGTACAGACATTGGACAGCAAACTGTATCAAGATAATAAGTTGAAAAACTAACCACCCAGGTCAGTAATGATACCATGGTAGTTACAGTAGTGGTGGTTGTGGTAGTTACAGTAGTGGTGGTTGTGGTAGTTACAGTAGTGGTGGTTGTGGTAGTTACAGTAGTGGTGGTTGTGGTAGTTACAGTAGTGGTGGTTGTGGTAGTTACAGTAGTGGTGGTTGTGGTAGTTACAGTAGTGGTGGTTGTGGTAGTTACAGTAGTGGTGGTTGTGGTAGTTACAGTAGTGGTGGTTGTGGTAGTCATAGTAGTGGTGAGTGTGGTAGCCACAGTAGTGGTGGGTGTGGTAGTTACAGTAGTGGTGGTTGTGGTAGTCATAGTAGTGGTGAGTGTGGTAGCCACAGTAGTGGTGGGTGTGGTAGTTACAGTATGGTGGTGTGTAGTTACAGTAGTGGTGGTTGTGGTAGTTACAGTAGTGGTGGTTGTGGTAGTCATAGTAGTGGTGAGTGTGGTAGCCACAGTAGTGGTGGGTGGGTAGTTACAGTAGTGGTGGTTGTGGTAGTCATAGTAGTGGTGAGTGTGGTACCACAGTAGTGGTGGGTGTGGTAGTTACAGTAGAGGTGGTTGTGGTAGTCATAGTAGTGGTGAGTGTGGTAGCCACAGTAGTGGTGGGTGTGGTAGTTACAGTAGTGGTGGTTGTGGTAGTTACAGTAGTGGTGGTTGTGGTAGTTACAGTAGTGGTGGTTGTGGTAGTCATAGTAGTGGTGAGTGTGGTAGCCACAGTAGTGGTGGGAGTGGTAGTTACAGTAGAGGTGGTTGTGGTAGTCATAGTAGTGGTGAGTGTGGTAGCCACAGTAGTGGGGTGTGGTAGTTACAGTAGTGGTGTTGTGGTAGTTACAGTAGTGGTGGTTGTGGTAGTTACAGTAGTGGTGGTTGTGGTAGTCACAGCAATGGCAGTTGTGGTAGTCAAAGAAATGGCAGCTATGGTAGTCACAGAAATGGCAGATGTGGTAGTCACAGCAGTGGGAGTTGTGGTAGTCACAGCAATGGTAGCTGTGGTAGTCATAGCAGTGGGAGTTGTGGTAGTCACAGCAATGGTAGCTGTGGTAGTCACAGCAGTGGGAGTTGTGGTAGTCACAGCAATGGTAGATGTGGTAGTCATAGCAGTGGGAGTTGTGGTAGTCACAGCAATGGTAGCTGTGGTAATCACAGCAGTGGCAGTTGTGGTAGTCACAGCAATGGTAGCTGTGGTAGTCACAGCAGTGGCAGTTGTGGTAGTCACAGAATGGTAGCTGTGGTAGTCACAGCAGTGGCAGTTGTGGTAGTCACAGCAATGGTAGCTGTGGTAATCACAGCAGTGGCAGTTGTGGTAGTCACAGCAATGGCAGCTGTGGTAATCACAGCAGTGGTACACGTCTACCTTGACCACAGTATCCAGAGGAAGCACAGGTGTTTACCAGGAGAACCACTGGTTCGCACACCCCTGTCAGTGATAGACTAACCTGAGAACTTACTGCATGAATAGTACCAATAAACAAATATATGTACTTCCATGACTTTTTTTTACATGGTATGGTATATTTTTTTCTCCCTAATTTCGTGTTGGTAGTGGCCAGAGGGAGTGAAGGGTGGGGAGAGAGCCTTCTGCTTCACTGTTCTTGCCTCAGACACCTGGATAACCCACTATAGTTACTGTTCTAGACAGAAATGAATGGTTCTTTTAAGCAGACAGCCTGGGAGGGAACTTGTAATTAAAGTTGTATACTATCTGTCTTTCCCATGAACTATCTCTCTCCCTCTCTCTCTCTCTACCTCTCTCTCTCTCTCTATCTCTCTCTCTCTATCTCTGTCTCTCTCTCTAAATACGTGGCTGAAGTCCAAGGGTAAAAGAGTCGCGCCATGCAGTCTGGTTGTGGTCGCCTCTAAACAGGAAGACGAAGAGGAGGAGGCGGAGGAGGAGGAGGAGGAGGAGGAGGAGGAGGAGCAGGAGCAGAAGGAGAAGGATAAGGAGGATAAAGAAGAGGAAGAGGAGGAGTAGGAGTAACATCAACTACAGGCTCCAGGAACCTGCACACACATACAGTACCAACCATGGTTCCTCATCTAACCTAACACCTTCTAATCAGGAACGTAGAACATAAATCACAATACTCTGCTTGAAACAATTCATAAATAACCATAGTTCCCGAGAGAAATCTTTAAACAATCTCTCATTAAGATCTCCACCAACATCAGCATCAGAAGAGAGGTCAACTGTCGAAAAACATTACCATGTCAAGAGGCGAGAAAGACACCAGAAAAGAGGTCATTTCATCAGTCCATTTAATCCACCTTCAGTCCTTTTAACCTCAATTATAACCTTCAGTCCTTTTAGCCTTATTTACAAACAAAATAAGACTATGAAATTTAAAGTCTTCAGAATGTATGCTCAGGAAACTTCTGCGGACTGTTCAGTCGTTTATACTTTTTCCTGTATTGAGTTTTGAAGATTAATTGTCTGATTACGATACAGTGGATGACTCTGTCTCTCGTGGAAGAGCAGACCAGTTACTAGCAGTGTCACTGTATTCTTAATGTTCCTGTGCACAACTGACTGTGCACAACTGACTGTGCACAACTGACTGTGCACAACTGACTGTACACAACTGACTGTGCACAACTGACTGTGCACAACTGACTGTGCACAACTGACTGTGCACAACTGACTGTGTACAACTGACTGTGCACAACTGACTGTGCACAACTGACTGTGCACAACTAACCCGTGCACAACTGACTGTGCACAACTGACTGTGTACAACTGACTGTGCACAACTGACTGTGCACAACTGACTGTGCACAACTGACTGTGTACAACTGTGTATAACTGACTGCACAACTGTGCACAACTGACTGTGCACAACTGACTGTGCACAACTGACTGTGCACAACTGACTGTGTACAACTGACTGTGCACAACTGACTGTGCACAACTGACTGTGTACAACTGACTGTGCACAACTGACTGTGCACAACTGACTGTGCACAACTGACTGTGTACAACTGTGTATAACTGACTGCACAACTGTGCACAACTGACTGTGTACAACTGACTGTGCACAACTGACTGTGTACAACTGGCTGTGCATAACTGACTGTGCACAACTGACTGTGCACAACTGACTGTGGGCAGCTGACTGTGCACAACTGACTGTGCACAACTGACTGCGTACAACTGATTGTGTACAACTGACTGTGTACAACTGACTGTGTACAACTGACTGTGCACAACTGACTGTGTACAACTGACTGTGGGACAACTGACTGTGTACAACTGACTGTGTACAACGACTGTGTACAAAATGACTGTGCACAACTGACTGTGCACAACTGACTGTGCACAACTGACTGTGTACAACTGACTGTGTACAACTGACTGTGTACAACTGACTGTGCACAACTGACTGTGCACAACTGACTGTGTACAACTGACTGTGTACAACTGACTGTGTACAACTGACTGTGTACAACTGACTGTGCACAACTGACTGTGCACAACTGACTGTATACAACTGACTGTGTACAACTGACTGTGCACAACTGACTGTGTACAACTGACTGTGTACAACTGACTGTGTACAACTGACTGTGTACAACTGTGTATAACTGACTGCACAACTGACTGTGTACAACTGACTGTGCACAACTGACTGTGTACAACTGACTGTGCACAACTGACTGTGTACAACTGACTGTGTACAACTGACTGTGCACTACTGACTGTGTACAACTGACTGTGCACAACTGACTGTGTACAACTGACTGTGTACAACTGCTGTGCACTACTGACTGTGTACAACTGACTGTGCACAACTGACCGTGTACAACTGACTGTGTACAACTGTGTATAACTGACTGCACAACTGTGC